TCGATGTTGTCCTTAATTTTCTGCATCCTTTCGCGGACCTTGAGTAGAACTTCGCTCGACATGTTGAATTCCTTTCAGGTACGAAAACGGGCCGAAAAGAAGGTAAAACTCGAGAGATGAGACGTAGGCGGCTCCCTGCTAGCAATCTGTACGGTGCTATCGATATATCATATGTGCGACCTACAACTGTCTGTTGTTTAGTCATGTGGAATTTTGAGGTATCTCTGGAATGCTGTGGGGCGAAACGTAAGTGGACGAGTAAAGATAATTGGCAGAATTAAAAAAATAGTAATAACGAAAGAAAGGAAGCAAATGCTGACTTGACCTATTAACCCGTAATAGTGACTTACATTTTCTCACAAGTGATTTGGAGAGGAAAATTGTCAAAATTAGTCTGTGAACAGGCTCTCTGTTTGGGGAAAAAAATATCACACGCTAGTCAAAATTGGTGCACGTACCCATACTTAAGAATTTTGTATTTTCATTCAGTTGGTCATTTGTTCTCTGAAAGTTTCCCTTAAGAAAATTTTCAGCTACTAAATGAATGAACAAGCTAACTTCTCTCAATTCAAGATTTTATTTTGTAAGCAAGTTAAGGAGAAGTTTTACGTAGATCATCGACGAGTAAGAAAATCGGATTTATTTATCAAATTTTAATACCTCAACCAAACTTGATCTTTCCGCTCACGCCACAAAGGCCGCAAAGGCTTTATTCCATCCCTTCAACTTTCGTAACCTTAAGTAAACCGAAAAAAAAGAGAAGAAGAATATGCTCTCCTTCCGACAATCTACCTCTGTTTACTGCAGGTAATTATTTCGAAGACTCGAAAGTCTCGTTGTTTACCGATGATGTATGGGAGTACCGTAAAGTCACTGGAGGTCACATTCCCTTCGCTCGGTAAAAACATTTTTAAAATTTACAAAGTTTCAGAACTTAAACCTTTCCAGTAACGTAATCAATTTCGGGATTCATTGAAATATTAAAAAAAATTAAGCCAAAGAAGGCTTGGATAAATTAAACATTGCTCAGTTTATGAGATTCCATTCTTTGCGCGCTTTAAATTGTCCTGTTTCCCACTGTCGCCTTACGCCCCATAACAGGAAAGGCAAACGAGAAAAAGCAAGAAAAGATAACTTGATCCTCTTAACTTCTAGAGGTACCAAATATGGACAGCTTTTAAAAAAATTAACGCAGCTACAATTTTGAACAGTTTAAAAAGCAATCCTTCCCCCACGCTCCGTCCAGAAAGCAAAAACGTGTCTTTTTCCTATGCCATCCTTTGTTTCAGGAGAACGAGGAAAGTGGTGGAGAGGGGTGGGGATCGTGTTAATTCAGTTTCCGTCTATATAATCCAAGATCGTTGTGAATTTGTGACGAAATCGTGCAATTGTACAAATCAATGGTTGTTTTCTTTTATTTTGTTGGTGAGCTCTTTTATATTTTATTCAGTTGTTTTAAATTCGGAATTGCAAAGTGTTTATTTTATTTTAGTTTATTGATATAAAGCATGGTCTCCATCAACAAGACTTCGACATACAACCTCCGGTCGAGCACCAGTATCCAGTTGGGAGAAAGAAAATTCATCATTTCCATAATATACCTTGTTTACCCCTCCCCCCTCCTCGCCCCCCCCCCCTAAAAAAAAAAAAAATTTTTTTCGGCTAGCAGCATACAACCTGACAAAGGTAAAAACTTTTCCTCCTCCCCCCCCCTCGCGCACCCACCCCTCATAAAAAAAAAAATTATATAACCATTAGTTTTGTTATTTACTGGGGGGGCCGTGATTAGCCAATTGAATTTGTAAACAAGGGATTTGAAAAGTTTTGGGGGGGGGGGGGGTATAGAAACAAGGTGTATTATGGTCTATGTGAAAACGGTAAATAAATGAAAAAAATGCAAAGTTACGCCCGTAGTCGAGTGAAACACAGTATTTTCAGTCCTTAATGGTCTACCGAAAAAATAGAAACAAAAGAACAAAATGGCGATTATGTGTTGAAGGGCAGACCTGCAAACCTGAAGCAGTCCAGCGTGACAGAGTCTTCTGACTTACATCTTATCATTTTTATCCCTGATGCTTAATTGTGATGTCATTCATTGCTGTCTTAAGAGCATCTGTTATCTAATATCATGGTATGATGTGCCTAATGGTCATTTGCTTTCCATCTATCAGTCTTGGAGGGATCAAAGGAAATGTGGAGTAGAGTGGCATTGCAGGGATCAATTTGCTGATCCATAAAAACAGATAACTGAAAGATTTTAATTATTGTTTTGTTGATATCGTAATTGCAAGAAGGAGCTCTGTTTAGTCTCCTTCTACGTTATAATGTTAAACAACACCTTTTATTCCTGATTTATGTTTATAGTGCAATGATGGGGTCAATTAATAATGTTTTAGCTATCGTTAGAACCCGGGGGAAGCACTCAACAAAATCTTAGCCAGGGAGGCTGTAAAACCAAAGCGCTCAAGTTACGATAATGAAGGGTTAAAAAGGGTTAACTTCGAACCCCGCATTTTCAGTCCCGCTTTCTTCTTGCGCTCTTTTTGAGACAAAAATTGAGACACTCAAGAGAGCCTGTAACAGGTCGTATCTATGAGAAGATTTTGCGTAAAAAAATTACAAAATCACCTTGATTTTTAATCTTGACCTAGAACTAGGACTAAACGACGCATATAAGGTAGCGTGCTGTGGGGGCGGTAGGTATCTACGTTTATGTTTCCTGCATTTTGCTTTCTTACAAAGAAGGTGACCGCCTGTTATCCTTTCATTTACCGATCACTGAGTTTCTTTGCTGATACGCACTGATTAGTGTGCAGACGCTCCACCCCCCCCAAAGAAAATCGTTTTTTTAGGGGAAGGGGCGTCTGCACACAGGTTATGCACCGATTAACGAAAAACTTTTGCAAGTGAGAAGTTTTTTGCTTCACTTTTCTGCTTTTCTTTTATACAATTAACTTTATCTCCGAGACCTACAAGAATGTACTAAACAGGCCTAGTTGTGTCCACCTTTTCTGGTGTTCCTCACACGATTTGGTTTGGGAGGATTTTGGGCGTGAGCATCCTTGAAGGGTTAATATGCAAATCCATGCTCTCCCGCCGTATATAGGACTGCATTCATAATCCTGATAACGCAAAATATTTAATCTCTGTTCATATCTCATTCAGGACAAGAAGATATATAATTATCACCAGGATTGCCTGACCCGAAGGAAGTCGTCTTGAATGTTATAACAGAATACACTAGAAATAGCGTCTGCGCGCCTAGGCCGAACACAAATATCGGTTACAAAAATTAAAAAAAACTCATATATACGCGGACCTCTACGTGAGATTTCCTTTCGTAATTACACGTTTTCCCAGTCAAAGTACAGGCAGACCACGGCGGTTAATCATCTCGCAAAATAAAGCTATAACATGAAACAGCTCGGGACGGCGAAAAAACATGCCAACCAAGACCCCCATAATGGGGTTCAATGGTCTGCCTACAGCGTGTTTTTAAGGCGGGGCTGTATAGTAACTTCTACCGTTATGAAATAAGAAAACGATTGGCATTATTTTTAACCTCAGTGGGACTGTCCACAACGCACCCTCTTCCCAAAATATAGCATCACTGTATAACGTGATCTAACCGAAAATTCCAAAAATTATTGTATTTCTAACCTTATAACAACTGCGTGACAGGAACAACGTTCGGGTTTTTAATACTGTTATATAACAGTAATTTTCTGTTTGTTAAAAATCCCAAAGCAAATTAAGTTTCAGTTATATGTCTGTCAGATATTGCATTTAAAGCCCTTCTAACTATCCAAGTGAATATGTTTCTATTTGAACGGACGATCTGCAAATAGCAGATATTCCTTTCTTGTAGAAAGGACTAGACTTTTCTTGCGCAGGGAGAGAACTGCAACCAGTTGAAGGTTTTCTCGTGGGGACCGTGAGGAGGGCATTGTTTTCACAGCTCCCGGGCAGGCTAACTACATGATCATCGAATACTGTATTTAGATAATCATTCGGCGTAGATATAGAGCCAATAACTCCACGCAATAATTTTGTGTTCTTTCCAAATGGACTTCCAAATCTGTTCGCCAGATGACCTGAAATAACCTGCCCCCTCCCTCCAAAAATCGGTCCCACTGAAGAAGAAATGGGACACGCAAAGCCTTCTGGGAGTTACGTCCGCCATTTTGTATTTTTTCGACATAAATGGAAGGTAATTCTTAGATGGGCGTTGCAATAATGACAAAATCAGCATTTCTCTTGACGTCCATTGAAACATTTTGGGTTGAAATCTGTATTTTGGTGTAAACTGTAGTCGCCGTAATGTTCATCTGTATTCTTCTGTTGAGTACAAAAAATCGATCCTCAGATTTCATTAACAACAGCTGCTACAGGAAGAGAGGGTGGCCTGCCTGTGGTCAGAGCATTGTAGCTGAAACCTGTTGTTGGCGATCATCAAAACTTGGCAGTAAAGGGAAGTCGCTTACGGGAATAACGGAAGTTTCGATTAGCCGGCGCTACCAACAGGCTCTAGCGCGGGAAAACGCGTCGAGATTGTTTTAGCTTTTACTTTTGATTGGTCAAGATAGTCCAACACGATTTTTTAGCCAATCAGAAATCACGGGAATCAAGGCTATCCCAGAGTGATTGCAAAATCGTCGGACTATAAACCCTCTACCATAGCGGTTAGTTCGAATGCGCGCGCATTTATGATGTAACAATGTAACTGCACATTCCGCCTTTACCTGCGTGCAACTTATCTACCGATAAGATAATATGAAACAACCTTTTGCAACAAATCAAACCTTCTCATAATATCCTAGCTGGGGAATGAATGCCACTTATAATTTTCTAGTTGTTTTTCTTCTTTTTACGTATACACTGAGTCTCATCAACAATAGCGAGCTACAAAATGAAAAGGAAGACAAAACTAACAGCAATAGCAAGAAAGGTACTATTTTCATCATGTTAGCAAAACTAGTAGACATGGTGAATGTTTCTTCATGTTCTACTGCATTTCCTTTGTAAAATCAATAGGTGTTACTGACCGCACCCATCACCAAGACCCTATCCTCATGCATGGTGCCATGGACAAAATAACAGGAAAGAATTCCACCAAAAACAGACAGAAACGTAACTTTTTCCCTCCAAAACGTTACCGCTGGAATCCAGATGCTATTCCCTATATGTTAGACAAGTCGCTCGGTGAGTGCTACAAATCTCCGTAAAAAAGTTCTGCTTTTTTGTTTTTGGTGAAAGAAAAATAGGCTATGAAGGTCATGTTTAAAATACAGGCCAAGGACTTAGCCGGTCAAAATATCAGCATTTTGGTTACTAAACTTCCTCCTCACTCAACCCCATATAAAAATGACGTTGCCAGATGCCATTTCTCATACAAATTACTCAGTGTGCTGAACTTCAGTTTCGCCTCCATGAAAAGGTACAACAGCACCTGTGTCTTACTCGTAATGCAACAAAGGGTTCGTGACGTGTGTCACTACGATAATAAGCCAGGAGATGTAGGGTAAATAACATCAAAGTGTTTTTCATGTCAATATATAGTCAGACATATATTCTCCATGTTTTTGGAAGGTTTGAAGGTTTGCCCCAATGGATGAAATGTTCCCCTATAGATTTTAACGATCATACTTATTCATTTTGTTTTAGGAGTGGTTGGGAGAAAGGCTTTTCAGGCTGCTGTAACAGACTTTGAAAAATATACCTGCATACGATTCATTAAACACACTAATGAGAAAGCTTATATTTGGGTTCATCGTGGATCGGGGTGAGTTACCGTATTTACTCGATTAACCGCCCTGGGCGCTTATTAAATTTTTGGATCTTGATAGTGGGCACTTATTCGAGTTGGGCGCTTGTTCGAGGCTGTGCGCTTATTAAATTTTCGCCGTTTTCAGCAAGTTTAGTATGTTTATTTTGCAACAAAACAAATGGCAATAACAAAACGGAAGATGTAACAAAGAAAGGTTTCAGTAAAATACTCTGAAGAAAACTCCGTCTTCGGGGAAGTCTCTTATTAGTACTTATTCAATTTCAATGAGTGGGAGGGGGAAGGGGGTGGGCGCTTATTCGAGGCTGGGTGCTAATTTGAGGTTGGGCGCTTATTCGAATAAATAGGGTAGACAAAGTTGTCGTAATTAGAGACGTTTAAAATAAGAGTACGCGGCATAATCTAAAGGATATACAGTGGAAGCTCTAATAAGCGGACACCCTCAGGACGCGACAAAGTGACCGTAATTGGAGCTGGCCGCTAACGGGAATTTAAATACAGAGTTTGTATGGGTGTTGAGAAAAACAGAGTTTTGTGAAGGTGTCCGTAAGTAGAGCTGTCCGCTTAATACGAGAGTGTCCGTTAGGAAAGCCTCCATTGTATATTTAAAAATCTCTTGAAGGCGCAATAGAATGATTGCAGGTGACTTAAAATGGAAAGTAAATGAATGGCCTTTTTTTGGCAGAGATGTCTGTTTAGACCTGTAGGTCTGTTCTTTTGCAGCTTAGAATGTTTTACCCTATGTTTTCGAGCAAATCATTGCTGTTCTTTAATTTGTAACTCACCACCCTATGTTTAGGCCATTCCATCTTAAGCAAAGACGTTCTTGGACGACGCATGTCAACCAGAAGTGAGGCCTGTTGCCTTTCTATGTGCCATGACGCTACCGAATTAGTCCAAATTTGTATTGCTAAATGTCTCTACTCTTATAGAGACGATTTTCCCGAAAATTTGAGCAAAACTAGTCTGCCCAAGAAGGCAAAAAATAGTCCACTTCCGGTTGACGTGAGTTGCTCAAAAAAGTCCTTGCTTAGGCTCCTTTTTATTTTAGTCATCACAAAAGGATGATAATTCGTTTAGTTTCTAAACTTTATCTGAGGCCTTCGTAGTCCATTCGATCCCAGCAAAGCTGTGTTCAAAAATTGTAAAATTGAAGCATCGTGAGCCACCATTTTGAATCGTGCATAGCAGCTTGGCCTCTGGGCGTGATGTCATTTCCTCTGTAGTCATATGTTAACTTGGCGATAGTCCATTCCCGATTTTCAGAAACTCTCAATTTCAAAACGAGACTAAGTGTTAAACCTTTCTTGTGAAAGTGAGATTTTATTGCATTGCTTGAGAATAAAAAATCATTATCGTATCAATGACGTCGTACTAAGCCTCGCTTTGAAACAGAGGCTCAGGGCAAATGGCCTGTTAGCAAGCAAGTTTAACTTTGCCATTGCTTGTCTCAGATGTTTTTCGGCAACTGGTAAATCTGGTGGTAAACAGCCTCTGTCCTTGGGTAACGGATGTACCTCTAAAGGTGTGGTGATTCATGAACTGTTACACGCCCTCGGTATGATGCACGAGCACTGCCGCGCTGATAGAGATCAGTTCATTAGGATCAACTTCAATAACGTCCGGCCAAGTAAGTAGAACGAGTTACTAAAATGCTTCTATGTTAAATTTTAATGAAAGACCTGATTCTTTCTCTGCTTTTTTAAATTTTCCGTTGCAAACACTTCGCTTACTACTAGGAGCCCAGAACTCGGAGCGAGCAACTCCCATTCTAGGCCTATGTCACGGCGTTTTTACGGACCAGTTTATTTTTAGTACATTATAGAACATTTTCCCCGCGAAAATGGAAGCTCTGCTCTGTCCGTGAGCGCATTCGAATAAATTGAAAAGAAAACCTGAATGTCGTTAAAAGTTCAAAAATACATTTTCAGGTTTTTACGAAGGTTTAGGGATTTACGAGATTCTAAAACTAAACTGGTCGATGTGACACGATTACATGGAAGTTGCTCGCTTCGGGGTTATGGCCTTCTGTCACTACTTAGAGGATCATACGGGTCACTTCTTAGCTTAAGTACTCATTTCAAGGTTGAGTTACTGTGGTCTTGTTTTTAAGATGATAACCAATTTCATTTCGGTTTGTTTTGCTATGTTGTAATTTTACCATCAAATTAATTCGGAACTTCTTTTAAACCCGAGGTTTGGTCAATATCTGCAGTAGTGGAAGTCATCAGAACTTCAAGGATAAAATGTTTCATTTCCCGAAAACACGACCATTATAATTATTTACTTGGATGGTTGGTTTTGGTCCAGACTCTCCATTTTGGTTTTATCGAAGTAGATAATGGAGACCCTTAGATTCGAGGGCGAGAAGGACCACGAGTACGAGATTTGAGTGAAAGTTTTTTCGCGTATTCTAAAACAAAAGCCACTCCAGGACATTTGATTCACCAGAAACGTTAGCAATGATATCTTTATTCTAGGAGATTAAGCCCTCTCCCGATCGAAAAATAATAAAACTTCTAACACAACGGCATTCTCGCTAAAACTCGTAGAAGAAAGTCGACCGCTATCACTTTTTCCCGCCAAAATAACGCTGTTTCACGCGCGAGCACTACTAAAGGTTGATTTCCAATGACACGTGTTGAAATTAAACGTGAAGTTGAGCGAGGTTCTACTTTTACGCTTACGTGCGACCTTTCATACATTGCCTCTATTTTATTTGCTAATGTAAATTTTACGCACGTACGCAAGTAAAATTTACGCGACAGTGGAATTCAGCCTTAAGTGTCGAGAAAATCTCGTTGTCATAGACGTTCTCGTCTTAGAATCTAAAGGTTTCTGATAGCATTCGTCGTGAGATATAACTTTGCTTGCTTTGGCGTTTGCTGAAACGCTTTTCAAATTATAATAAAAAGTCAGAAGAAGAAAAAAATACCTGTCGTTTTGGTTTCTGTTGTAGAAGCCAAAATCGAGTTCCAAATTTTGAAAGGATATGTGCTTGGAGAGCCGTACGACTTTGGATCTGTGACACATTACGGATTTGACTTCTTTAGTATTAATCCAACTATTCCAACGATTGTCAAGTTAATGCCTGGAGGCGCGCAAATTGGTCAGCGGGAAGGTTTCTCTCCTCTGGATTTGAGAAAAATCAATAAGTTTTATAACTGCAAAAACTACATCAGTAAGTACATTATGACTATTCAATTTTTAGCATTTAAACTACCATTTAAACATTGAAAGTTGAATTTTTTTGTGTCTAGAATAATTGGTTCTTATTGTTCTTAGTTATTTTTTTTGCTTGGTATCTTGTATAGAGCCCGTGTTCACGCCCGAGGAGAAAAAGCTTAAAATAGTTTCAGGTAATTTAACTAATAAGGCAAATAAAACTTAGAGTATACGCAATGGTACTTGGAGATAAATGTGGAAGTGTTCTGGATTTGAGATAAATCAATAAGGTTTATAACTGTAAAAACTACTCCAGTAGTGGATAAAAATGTGGATAGCCTCAAAGCCCTTTTCTATCATGTCTAATTGAAACAAGTTGCTGCGCTTCGTATTTAAAACTAATGACCACTCCTGCTTAATTATTTAACAAGAGAGGATGAAGGACGACCTCGCTTGTTGATGCATATTTCAATAAAATTTCTGTTGTGATTATAGGAAATTGCAACTTTGAAAAAGGCTTTTGTAGCTGGCGAAACTGGAAAAATAAAGTTGACGATCAGTTTGACTGGGAGATAGGGATAGCAAATGATCCGCATCCTCCAGCTGGGAAAACATATGGGCAACCGTACGGTAAGATACAGTGACAAATCACCTCGAATTTACCACTTTATATTGAACGATTGAAGATTGATTCCTTTTTTACCTCTGGGCTGTATTCAGTCTAGTACAAAGGCTGGTGGGGTCGAGTACATAACTGAAATTAATGAAACAGTCAAACACAACAAAGCAAAGAATCCCAACTTACCGGAGGCAAACCTGTTGGCTATTTTAAAACATGCGTGGTCGAGGATATGAACTCGGGACAGCCGTGAACAAATCCAGTAAGCGGCCAGGCGGACTTGAACTTGGGGCCTGCGGTTTGCCTGTCAAACGCTCTAACTGCTCGGCCGCCCTGCCTTCTAGGCTGCGACCAGTCTATTTTTCTCTTAGTTTATGGATTAGCCACAAAGAGAGGTCAGAATCTCTCTTTTTTGAGGCCTTCAGTGTCTTGATACGCCCAGGCCAGTTGCGCGCAACAGACGGTGATCTATATTCACAACCCAACACAATACTGCACCTCATCAAGGATAGTTTCAGAAACAACAAGAAAAGCTAACTTTTTTCTGTCATTTTACTCTGTAATCTAGACTTTCGGGGCAACATAAAATCCTAAAATCAGTTATATTTAGTCTACTCATGTTATAAAAATCTTTCTTTCTGTATAACCCCATCTTTAGTTTCAATCTTTCTCAAGGTAAATTCATCTTCTTTGAACCGCCGAAATCCTATGCCGAGTACATAAGTAGCGGCGTATTATACAGCGGTTTCTTCAATGGATCAAGCTGTCTAAGGTTCTACTATCACATGAGTACTGGCGGCTGTCTTAGGGTGTTTACAAAAGAGAAGGATTCAAAGAGGAAAAACCCATACGTTCTTATCTGGGAAAAGATAGGTCCACAGGGCAACAAGTGGAAGAAGATGAAAACATCAATATCAGGCAAAGATAAACTTTATGAGGTCTGACATGTTAATCGTTGGTTGACTTAATAAATAATAGAGTAATGCCTTTCAAAATGAGGCTTATAAAGGCAAAACCAAAGGCCTCGAACTTTTCCGTGTTTTCACCCTTTTACTCCCAAGATCTGATTTGTAATTCTCCTTTCCAGTTGCTATATATTTCATTGTACATTAGTTCTTAGTTTAGAGAATTTGGATTTATATCAAAAGTGCATCCTCTGGCTGCTACAGTTCCCTATTCTTCTAACCTTTCTGCTGGACAATGAATTGATATTATAAGAAGTTAGATGCCGATCACTTCTGGGAGTTAAAGGGTTAAGACAGATGCTTGACTGAGGAAACTTGGAAAAAGCCAATTGAAATTTTTTGCTCCAACGCACACACCTTGCGCCAGGGACTTGACGCCTTCCCCTGAGCGAGGAGATTTCATGCGCGCTCCCGTATGTCGCTTTTTCTACTATCATATAGGAAAATTTGGGACTTCCTGTGGTTCTCGTAGAGTTGACATCTCAAATATTAAGCACAAACCAGCGTTACAACATTGTTGCGACATTATTTAGAATTGTTGCAACATTATTGTTCCATTATTGTTCCAACATTGTTGCGCTATTGTTGCGTTGCAAATCCTCCCGTGTAACGTCACCTTAAGGTGGTCTTTCATGCTTTAAGAACTCAATTATTTGAAGTTTCTAGGTGTTTCGGGCCTTGTTTAACACCAAAAATCGACAAAAAATAAGACTTCCAATCCAACACGAAGCTAGCGAAAATTAAATGCTACGGAAACAGATGAGATATCCCAAACCTAGTTTGTTGTCCACTATTCTACTATTAAACATTGCAATTATTACTTTTGCTTTTCAGATCTATATCGAGGGAATTAAAACTCCTGATCAAATGGGATTTGTTGCTTTTGATGAGGTTCATCTAACTCAAGGAAGAACATGTGGTTGTAAGTAGAATTCAAATTTTTGTATGTTGACCATTATTTTTTCCTAAAGAAAGCTTCTCAAAATCATCAATAATTCATAAAGAGAATACGAAATTAATGTTTAATGAGTGTTTGGAAATAACCTGAAAAACTGCTCATTTTTGCATCCTTAATTTATCCATCTAAAGTCATTATCATCGAAGTCTGCGATAGATATTAAAACTGAGTTGGAATTTTTGGAATTAGAAGCTTCACTGCCCTTCATGTAAAATATCAAGCATGGACGCAGTGTTTCATCACCAGATGAAACACCTCGAAGTTCGTCAAAAACACTACGCCGCGCGTCGTATTTTGAACTCGCTTCTCAGTGTTTTGTCTGGTGATGAAACACTGCGTCCATGCTTGATATTTTACATGAAGGGCAGTGAAGCTTCTCATTCCAAAAATTCCAACTCAGTTTTAATATCTATCGCAGACTCCGATGATAACGTATCGTCTGTGGTATATTCACCCATGTAGGGGAATCGGGAATCCGGGATACTGGGATTTGGAATATGGAATACTGGGCTTGGAAACCTGGAATACTGGGCTTGGGAATCCGGGATACTGGGCTTGGGAATCCGGGATACTGGGCTTGGGAATCCGGGATACTGGGCTTGGGAATCCGTAATACATCTTAAGGAATCCAGAAACCCACTAACGACTGGAATCCAGAATCCACGTTCCACTAACAACCAGAGACTGAAATCCAGTGCCTGGAGTCCGGGATCCAAGAATGTCTTGGATTCCCTTGCATGGGGCAAGGCTTATGCTTTTTTTCACAAAACAATGTTTTGTGAGTTTATGCGCGCAAACATCATTCTCCTATGTAAGTGTGTCTAAATGGTTATTTCATTAGGATAGAAGAAGCCCAATATGTACGGGCAATACAACATTGCATTGACCAATGATAATCAAGATCACTTAATGGCAGATGAAGAGGGGAAAACGCCATGGAGAACATTGCAATTGCTTGCTTTCATTTCGTGTATTCATGTAAAGGTGAATATTGTAAAGAAGAAAACCATTTACTGCCGTTTAATTACCCTAGAAGACAATTTTTTTCTTAGTTTATTACTTCACATAGTGAAATTAAAAAAAACTTCTTAGGGACACTGGAGCAATGTTTTCTTAGAAAACACCCGTTTCATTACCTTTATATATCGCACCATGAGGAAAGACGTGTACCGCAAATGTTTACAATCGCGCTGCTTTGGAACAGTGACGTCATCAAAAATGGCCGTCGAGATAGACGCTATTTTAGATTTGCTGAAAATTACAATCCATCAAAAAAAGCGGTGAATGTAACTCATGACGACACATCTCGTAACCATCGCAATCGTTTTTTATACCGTGTCTGAAAGAAAGGCAAACAGTCGCAGAAGAGAAAACTTTCTGGAAAACTAAATAATTATCAAACAAACAAGCAAAACCGAAACAACCTTTGAAAGGGGTGGCTGCCACGCCCCGTTGGAGATGGCAAATAATTGAATATGGTTTAAGCGTGGATGGTTTGCAGAGTACATTTTCTTCCAAAGACGCAGAGCGCTTCTTATTTTCCCGCCTTTCATGACGGTGGCCATTGGAAAAAAGCAGCTGACATCCCTGGCAGAGACTTAGAATGATGATGTGAACTGCGGAAATACATATTTAAATGGAGATACGATCGTTGCTTAAATTGCAATTACCACTGCGACGATCATGTATATCTTCATTTAAATAGCTAAGCCTTTGTAACAGGCGTTATTTAGCGCATTGACGAGAGGCGATGGTTAGTTACCATCATGAAAAACTCAATTTGACCGATGAACTTTTCCTGGTCACCAGAAAACCGATTTTGCAAGAGATTGAAACTGAGGCTATAAAATGCTCTTCCTCACCATCATCGTCTTCTTCTCTCACCTCGATTCCGCTGGAAATGTAAATTCTCCATAACCGTAACCACGTAAATCGTGGCTCAGTCTTAACGTCCCCGTCTTGGGAAACTGCATGAAGTACAACAGGTTGCACCTGGCCTTATTTATTGTCTCAACTTATGGTCACAGACTGATCTACAACTGTTTCCAACGCTGTATTGTAGCAACAGTAAGATGCGGTGGTAACCACTTTCAGTTACATAACGCAACAGTCTTCTATCAGCTTTCTGTCAGTGTGATTAGCGACGTTATACATGCGTTAACTACTTGATCCTAGATTAACTTGGATCGGCTTAAATATAGCTATATTGTACATCTTTCATCGCGTAAATTCTTTAGGTAACTGAGAGTTTATGGCAACACATTTGTTATCAATTGCATTTTCAAAAGTGACAAAAAATGTAAATATGAACATGTGGAACAAGCGAAACATGCTTAAAGGCCCGTTTCAAACTTCGACCTCTACAGGTGCCGAATTTAATGGTAATGAAGAAAATCTATTGTTCTCTCTCACTTGCATTAGTCGGCGCATTTGAAGTTTGACGTTTGAAACGGGTCTTAATATTAGGGTTCGTTTCCTTTTGAGAATCCAACATTTAATTCTTGCCCTAGAGTTTACTTTTTCAGACCGTGTCCAAAGAAATCCAAGGATCATGAATCCGTTACATTTGATCTGTTGAATCCATTCGGTGTGTAGATTCTTTATAAGGTCCAAATCCGTTTGTTATTTATCCAAAAATAAGCAAAACTGACTGGTCTTTGGATTCAAGAATCCCGTTTTGGATTCCCCCAAAGAAACGCATCCTAAATTACATCAAGTTCCTTAAAACAACAAACGCAAACGTGTAACGCTTAAACGAGTGCATTCAGTATGATTACAAAAGCATAAAAAGATCTGTGTATAGAGTTTGTTCAGATTACTTTTCTTTTGTAGTTTAATTAATGATATTAATAAGAGAGGTTGTCATCATATAAATTAGTCTACGAGCAAGCTTTCTCGGGCGTGGTAGGTGCGGAGGATCGAAGAGAAAATTGGCCCTCTCCATTTTTCCCTGGCGCGCGCACACCCCTGGGAGAGCTTGCTCGCAAGCTACACACAAATACAAATTAATTCAAGCTTCTTTTTCTTCGTCTTTTTCATTCTTTTACCAATGAAAGAAAACTGAACTTAAATAGGCTCTTAGACTGTCTCCAACCAACAACCTGTGTTCCTTACATATACGCAAGTAGATTAGAAAGAAAGGTCTTTTTTTTATTGTTCCCACAGAAAGAACGACGGTAAAACGATAAAGTAATGCTTTTCCCGATTGTTTTCATTTACGTTGCTGGCATAATTATGGCAACAGAAAAATTATGTACATGTATGTTTACACTTATTTTGAAGAGAATGTACGTCGACGAACACTCTTTATAAACATATAACTCTATAAATATGAATATAATCTCAATCGAACAGATTTTAAAGATACCTTAGTCAAGACGACGAAACTGAACTTTGATGATCCCAGCCTTTGTACTTCACGCTGGGATAACAAACCTTGACTGGTCATAAGACCAGTTTCTAGCTAGACTGTTAAATCGATCAGTTCTGAATAGTAACGTCCTTAATCCATGTATCTCGATATTTGACATCAAATTGTCGATACTGATACACTTAAATTAGCCTCTAAGAGCCTTTGTCTATCCGCTCTAATTCTGTACATACTTTTTCTCGACTATTTACAGATTTATGAATCACTACATGCAGCAATCATGTATCAGATCTTTAAATATCGTAATTCCTTTGCCAAAACGGGGTTTGATCACACTGTATATCTGGCGATTCTGTTAATGACAAAATATTTCAACGCAATAGCTTCGATACCTCGTTTGATATCAAATAAAATGGCAAAAGGCGAAGAGGGTTCTAGATTATTAAGGTCTAGCCCGTCCACAGACGTTTTTCTTTTACGCCAATTCGAGGGTCTGTGAACAGGCTACAATTTGTAGCTAATTACGGTCAGTTGACGTATATTTCGATGAAATTTTGGCAACCTGCTATAACTATTGTTTTCAGTTGTAAGCGTAGATCACTGATTCACACTCTTCTGAGAGCAATCACTTCGATTTAAGACCAGCGAAATTGGTTAAAAAGCAAATTCTGCAGTCTGACACAATACATGATTAACTGGAATCTTAGGCTTATGCTTTGGCAGTGATATGCGTCATGATTTTCTTTGGTTGCTGCGAAACGCTCTCTATGCGATTCATGGACAGAATCGTCAAGAACAGTGAGCCCAGCCCTTCTTCGATGCAGTTTAATAATGGTCTTCACCACTTTATCTATCCAATTTTAAGGTTTCTGTAATCCACGGAGTATACCGGTGAACATTCGTGTACACTCCATACTTGTGTGGCAAAGCACACCTTTCTCCCCAGCTGACAATGCCTGCAAGAATCCACCGTCCGTTTGGCTCTGGACAGTTCAGAGGTCCTCCACTGTCATAAGAGCATGCATCAGTTCGTCCTTCTTTGAAACCGGCGCATAGGAAATTTGGTCCTATTGTCCCATTGTATGAGCTATCGAAAACAATGATTGACAATTAGGGAATATCTTTGATTAGTAATGGAAATAGGACTGAGTGAAGTACAATTCAGGCAGTAATCGGGCTAGTAATTTCAAATCGGCCGAGCGAGTGTGCTTGTAGCGCGAAGACGATTTGAAACCACGTGGCCGATTACTTTGAATTGTACGACACAAAGTCGTATTACACCAAGTTAAAACATCGGAATATGGAGTTCCAACTGCGTGAAATTTTTTCAACATGTTTTAAATACATTTTTTTTCAAATTGAATGTGTTAAACTGAAACTGGATAACTGGGTCACCGAAGTTTTTTCGCTGGTTTTGATTTGCTTGCATGGACTAATTTGTTAAATCTTATCGGTTAGTAACATTTGATGTTTGATTTTTATTGGCTATTCAATTGTCCGATTACAAGCAGCTTCTAATCGGACAAGTCAAATATAATTAGATAGTTTTGGTACTGCATCAGCAAATAAGGATTTGCTGAGAACAAATCAGATATGAGAATTTTGTTACTGACACAATTAATGCATTGACTTACTTCCCATAAAAAGTGTAAAGTGTTCAATATCAGATCAAGCCCAATAATGGTTTGGTTAACCAGTTCATTTTTGCCCTCCTGAGCGTTGAAAAATGACATTTAAATTTTCTGGTCACGAAGCCTGTTAAGCCTGTAAACTCAACCCGAGACGTTTGTTATTTCCTTATTTTAAAGAAAATCAGCTCTGTGGACCAATTTGTTAGATGGTTGGAAAAATGACTGCGTAATTTTCCTGCCATATTTCCTAGAAATGTGTCCCATCAAGCTGGCTCTTCATAAAATAAAAAAATGCTATGCAAAAATAAATAATAAAAAATTAATAATACCATCCAAAATTTCTGCCGAAGAGGTTTTATTTAAATGGTCACGCTATAGGATTTCGTCCACGGATTTAAAAATAAGAGTGACCAAATAACGATCTCGTGACGATAACGTGACGGCTTGAAGCGAATAGGTTCGGGAGACTACTGACCGTTCTGAATTGCAGACGGGTTTTGATACCAGATCGATCCAGCCCTCTCTTAAGACATGTGACATTGTTCCGTTCCAAGAGGTGTGACCCCAGCCAGTAACCGTGCAGCGTAGACCAGGTTTAAAGTATGCAAAACTAGGAGGTAGGCAGATTTGGTTGACGAGCAATCCGAATCTTATCGAACTGGACAGGCGCACCAGAGCTGATTAGTGAAAAAAGATAAGTTACTGTTAAGTCAAACCTCCCTTTGGCTACCGTCGTTTGCTACAAAGAGCT